AAACAACAGTTTGAACCTTCCAGTACTCGATTTTCAGATTTGATTATGTACAATTGCCAAAATACCTCAAGTGATTACAGGTTTCCCATTTCAAATAGTTCTAAGTACCATTAAATATTTTGTAAAATACTTTTTAGGCTCCTAAGTGGATTCAACTTATATTATTCTTCTACTCTGAGAAATAATGGGTAACTATTATCTGTTTATTGCTCAAGAGGAGAATTAGTTCCCAGAAATATGATCTTGGTTAAATTTTGCTGTACACTACTTCAAACACAAATTACCCACCACAGATTAAGACTTGGCTCTGAATATAAGAAAATTTCCTGTTTGAAATTTTGGTAAGACCCAACATATGGAAAAAAAATAGAGCTCTTGGAATAGCTTGGTAAAATAATTTAGAAAATGAAATGGTGTAAAATGCTATAACCACAGCATGTAAGTAATGTTTCCTCCAATAATCATTAAAGACCCACTTATAACCTGACTTTCTTTAGCACTCTTGTTATTCTTTTATAACTTTACAAAAAAAAAAGTTTTTTGCACTAAAGCTGACCATATTTTCTTACACCTTGCCCCTGGCTTTGAAAATGTCTAAGGAAAATTTGCACAAACATTAATTTATTTAAAGTTGAAATATTCATGCTTATTCTATTTTAAGAGAAGCTTAATGGTTGGAACATTTCATTTCTCAGAAACTTAGTGGAAATATTTCCTGTGTGTGCAATGAAGCCAGTAATAAAATATTAGTAAGTGGAAAAATTATACTTGTTCAAAATCTATTAACTGTTTTACAGCTCTACACAATCATATAAACATTTAAGACATGTTCTAACAAGCAAATAGTCAAATAAAATATGTGTTTTGGTATAAATAAAGTTCCATTAATTTTTATATATCTCTTCTTTCTTTTTTTATAGGGCATGCACAAAATGTAGAAAGAAATTTGGGGCAGAAATTATGAACCCAAACTTTTATGGATGAAATTATTTTATAAAGTATTCATATGGATGACCCAGAATGTAAGCTATTATTCTTAGCCTAGAATGATAAAGGTAAACTCACATCTCCATTTGTTTCTGTCCTCCATCATTGGGTAACCTCCACATTCCAGGGAAGAAAACGATGTCATGCTGATTTCTATCATCCAACGAATTAATTGAATTCCAGATTCTTAGCAGTATTGATTGTAGATAGAACATATGAATTTAAAGTCTGATAGACAAGAGTTCAACAAGCTCTTCTATTTTGTCTTTCTGCTTATTAACTCCCAGCTTCCTCATGCACAGAATGGGAATTAGAATAATGTTTGCCTTGTAAACTGATATGAGGAATTCTTGTAAAATATAGGATCTGGCACATAGTAAATTTTTAGTAAATTTTGTTACTTTACCACATGAGGAAAGAAAACTTTTAAATACAATAAGAGATATTATTATTATTGAACACTTATTATTATGCCAGGAATCATGTGAGTACTTTACAGGCATTACCCAATTCAACCCTTATAATATTGTTAACCCATTTTATAGACAAGTAAAGGGCAGCATCCTCTGGTCCCAAGCATTGCAAAGATCCTATCATTTTGTAGTTCTATTGAACCACACCTTGTTTAAAGAAGCTATTAACATAAAAGGGCATTTATCTACAATAAAATTAATAATTTGGTGGAATTTTCCTCCAATAGGCAGGTATTTCCACACTAGACATAATTTTTTTCCTAATATTGCCTTGAATTAAAATCTTACTAGATAGAATTATATAAATCAGAAAACTTAATTACCTTTTATAAGGTTTGTTTCACTCTGTTTATTTTAACAGATTTAGGGCTTTGCATTTTTGTTCTATTTTTGACTAATAATGCATAATTTGTTTGATTTCCCTCTGTAGTTTGATTTCATAGAGGAACGTGGGGATTACTGTTTTAAATTTCATTCTCTGGAAATAAAAACAGTCTTGAAACGTCCAGAAATAAATATAAATGCCTTAAAAATAAATATGTGAAGCACATATAAATAAACTAAACATATAAAATCCAACCACTGCCAAAGTTTGAGGTCTATTTTAAAATGAACTCAATCTCATATTTGTGTGAGTGTATGTCTGTTTGTATAGGCATGAAGTTTGGTTTGACTTGAAAAGTGTATGATAAAAGTAAATATTAAATATTTGCCCTCATCACACTGTATATAAAATATCTTAATTCTCAGGCATCTATTCCAAAGAAAAGAAATAGTTGATAAAATGGTGCAATTCACAGGACTTCCTGAAAATGAGAAATCATTACAGTTAGTGAGTAAATTAGGATTATAAACCAACAGTAGAGTACAACAGCCAGGTTCAAATTAAAGTTTGCCCAGGAGCACGTGGGTGGCTCATTTGGTTGTCTGACTTTGGCTCAGGACATATCTCACTGTTCACGAGTTTGGGCCCTGAATATGGCTCTGTGCTGACAGCTCAGAGCCTGAAGCCTGCTTCAAATTCGGTGTCCCCCTCTCTCTGCACCTCCCCTGCTCTTGCATTATCTCTCTTTCTCAAAAGTAAATAAACATTAAAAAAAAAAAGTTTGCACAGATAATCCTCAACCTGCTTAATTTATGAACAGAGTTCTGAGTTTTGAAAGATTCTCCAAACTTCAGGGCTCAACATTCATTAAGAGAAAGTCTGACTTTCAGTATTAATAGCAACCAGAAAGAAAAATTTTAAATGCAGCCAATAAAATAAAAACTCAATAAATAAAATAAAGTAAAATAAAATGCACTTAAGAGTTTGATAATATTGATTATATTATATATATAATCAGGCATGTAGCTATTGTTAACTTTCTTTAAAAGAGGAAAACTGAAATTTAATGCTATTATTACTCCTTTAGTGTCATCACAGAACATTTTTAACACATTATATATAAATAAGAAAAGTTCTAAACTACCCCATGAAAAAATGTTCTTCATTCTTGAACAACAAATCAGATAACAGATTATATTAAAAGATTATTCTCTTAAACTTTAAATTCTTAGGACTTTATAATTAAGATGTATATATCCCTTTAGCTTCATACACATATATATAGTCTCATACATATATATAGCATATGTATCTTGTAATATATATGTATATATGTGAAACTAAAAGGATCTTACAAGATATATTTGCATATACCTTGCAATTGTCCCTCTATAAACTTCTACTATCATCTTAATACTAGTAAGGAGAAAGATTCTGCATGGACCAAATTACCCTTGGTTCTTTAGATTTTAATGGATAAGCCTTAAAAGATTTAAAGAGACTCAGAGTTCATGTAAAATTTGTGTGTAATATTTTGCACCTTTCTGATGAGTGGATTGACAACCTTTGCAAAGGTTAAGGACAAGAAGGGAGTTAGGACTGAGTTGTGAAGGAATAGTGGGTGCGCGCACCATGATAAGGCATCTGGGTTTAGATCTCACTTTCCCCCACAAGGCTGTGTAACTCCTCTTTAACTCTCAATATTTCTGAGCCTCAATTTTCTAATCTATTAAATAAAGATAATGACAACACATATTTCAGAGATGAATTTACCATGAAGTGAATAAAGTCTAAGTTTTGGGGCCCTGGCAATGTGTTTATGTGATTGGGTATAATTTGTAAAATTTGCAAAATAGTGTATTTTTTAATAGGCATATTCCTCAAATGTGTAACTTCATACCCTACCAAAATTGACCTTTCTCTGTTTCACCTCAGGGTTTATACTGAGTATTGAATTAGATATATAAAATAGATAAAGCTTTAGGATTATGCCTAGAACAAGGAAAACACTTGATTAATGTTCATTATCATTCTTATTATTATCAACCATCATAGGTAATTTGCTTGTGCTTATTTTTCCCATTGCTGCATACAATTATTTCATATCCTAAAAAGTATTGTTCAGGGGTGTTTAAGACAGAGCTCAGCTAATTTGTAAGGAGAAAAAGTATATTAATAATTTATATTAGTATATGTACTAATAATATACTTTATAATAATTAATAATTATAAAGTATATATAGTAATTCAAATGTCAGATTTACTGATACAAATCTAAGAAATGGTAGCTTTTAGAATTTAATCAAGACCATGCTTTCATTTTGGAGAAAAATCTAAAACAGTAAGTCAGAGAAAACTGTGGTACTATGCCGGGTAAATGCACCTAAATGAGATTTCATACACTTGTTAGGTAGCTGTTGCAAGAAAGGATAAATAAATGGCTGAACTCACCAGAATTACACTAATCTTATCATATGTATAACAGAAACATTGAAATACTCAGGGACTTAGTAATGTATACAAAAATGGCCATGCTGTTTTCTGAGTCATCGTTTTGGGACACCTTATACCTATTTTACATTCATAATGTGAAATCATATTCATATGATATCTATTTTACTATTTATAACCAAATGGCATCATACCTTTTAATCACATACCTAAAAGTTACAGACACAAGCTTCTCTGTAAATTGTGATTAATCACACAAAGAATCACAATAAATATTATTGACTTATAATTAAGCTCTACCTTTTGAATTTTCTATTTTATTTAAACAAAGGAGATATACACATGCACTGGTTATGAATAAAATTCACCAGGAAAACATGACTCTTTTTTCAAATAATAGGAATTTGAATCTTACCCTCACTGAATTATCAAGTCAATATAGAAATACATTTCAAGATAAAACACATTTAAGATAAATACAGTAGAGTTGGCTCTAACAACAGCTTAAATCCTGAAGCGATATTGATTTATACACATATAGAATTGCATTTGAATGACTTTTAGTGTGAGATGTATATTTTTCCAGGCAAAGTCCTGTTCAGAGAAGAATGCTAGCTGTGTTTGTCTTGCCTTCTCTGAGTCGATCATGAAATCACCTGATGAACCAGCTGAGCAATAGTAAGAATGCGAAAACTGTTCCTTTCTGCTCTGCTCCAGAGACAGCAAGGTAAGTTCTTTCCAGGTTGTGAGTTGAATGGCTAACATCACAGTGCCATTTCCTGCTTCATGCTGTGCCCATTTAGTAAAACAGAATTGGTTACCACATTCTTAGCATTGCTTTTCAGAGATGTCATACGCACTGCAGAAGAGCTGAGAAGGTAGCTGGGTGATCTCTCTTGATGGGACTTCCTCCCACAACACAGCTGGCTATTGAAATGCCTCCTGAAGCTTTCACTGAGTAGATAGAGAGCAAATGGATTGACACAAGAATTGCAAAAGCTCAGAACTCGGGCAACTAAGGTGACAATCATATGGCCTAGAGATGAGTCAATCTCGTTATAGTTGAAAGACCTATACATGTAGAGAATGTGATTTGGAAACCAACAGAAGACAAAGCAGCCCACAAAGACCAGCACAATTTTAGCCAGGCGTTTCCGTGTTTCCATCTGCAAAATACAAGGAAACAGTCCCTTTGGTTAAAATGAAAATGGAACCATCAACATGCAGAACATTGTGCAAAAGAAGTAAAACTTACCATGGCATGCAAATGCATCCAAAAATACAAAAGCTATTTTCTTCAACAAAGTGACGATTTTAACAGTTTGACTATTTTGGTCACCATACTGTTTCATTAAATATAGTTAACAATATGATTTTAATCGTACATGGAATTTAAGAAACAAAAGAGACGAACATACAGATAGGGGAAAAAAGAGAAGGAGACAAACCCTAAGAGACTCTTAATGACTGAAAACAAACTGAGGGTTGATGGACAGAGGTGGGGAGGATGGGCTAAATGAGTGACGGGTTACAAGGAGAGCACTTGCTGGGATGAGCGCTGGGTGATGCATGTAAGTGATGAACCATTAAATTCTACTCCTGAATCCAATACTATACCATATGCTACCTAGAATTTAAATAAAAACTTGAAACTAACCAAATAAGTAAATAAAATAAATTATCTGACAGCCTCTATAAGACTAGATGATAAATTACGAATAAATGGCTATGTCTTCAAGCTAAACTGTGACCTATAAAAATTCTCTTATTTTATTTTTTTTAAGTTCTCTTATTTTAAACTATTTTCCTGTTGTCAAAGTGTTATGGTGTTCCCTTTAAATGTAAATCATTTCTGTTTGTATTAAATCAACTGAATTAATGAACCACAAAATATATTCAGTATTAGATTTTGTTTAAATCAGGGTAATTGAAATAAAGCATGGCTTTTTAAATCCTTATTATACACATACATACACACACACACACCCCAAAACTTGAGATTTCAACTTCTGACTCAGATAAATTAAAACCACCTGACATAACTGTAAATCCTATAAGTATTACTATGTTAGATTACTTTAAAAATAAAAGTACACTTTCTTTTCATAAACTTTACATACTGTGTTTGCTGTTTTATAGGAAACTCTTCAGGAATGTGATAAAGAAAGAAAATTCAAATATTGGGCATACATACATCTTTTTAAACCTAAAAACCATTCTCTAATATATAGAGTTAAAGGTTTAGCTTGTATTTGTCATGTTCAAATACTTAAATATGGCAACATGAATGTGAAAACTTAGTTTATCAAAAGATATTGATAGGAGGCAAAATGATACATTCTGGGCTAAAACTATTGGTAGTCAACTGGAACATGCCCAAACTGGAAAGGTTTTCCGTTCAAACAGATCTGGTGTTGGGGGTACTAGGGAGTGGTGATGGGGGAAGCAAATGAACGTGCGGTGAGGACGAGGAACGGCAAGTGTGGAAGTGCAGGTGTATCCCGTGGCATGAGTTAAGCAACTTGACTGTAAGATAAATGTGAAATTTATGTTACAAAGCAGTGTCCACCCTAGCAGGTGTAGCACGGGTGCACGAAGTTCATGCCTATCTGTACCTGGAGACTCCGATGCACAGGCAGGCTGTTGGCACTGAGACGACTTCTCAGCAGATATCAAACCCTGTTACTCAGCCAGAGTTTATAAGTCCCAGTAGAAAAATTCACAAAAAGGGGCACCTGGGTGGCTCAGTCGGCTAGGCATCTGACTTCAGCTCAGGTCATGATCTCACGGTTCGTGGGTTCGAGCCCCGCGTGGGGCTCTGTGCTGTCAGCCAGCTCGGAGCCTGGAGCCTGCTTCAGATTCTGTGTCTCCCTCTCTCTCTGACCCTCCCCTGCTCACGCTGTCTCTCTCTCTCTCTCTCTCACACAGAAATAAAATTTTTAAAAATTCACAAAGAAAAAAAAAAAACCAAGGCAGAACTAAGGCCACTTAAAAAAAAGTGGGGTGGGAGGGAAAGAGGAACTGAATTTTAGAAACCTAAGCAAAAACTCAAATACCCAAATTGATCACAGGGCAAAGGAAAAAGTGCAGTGAGTCTATGAACTGGATTTTTTTTTGCTACAATGAGGTTAGATATTTTTTTTTTAAATTTTATGTCTTTATTTTATTTTGAGAGACAGAGACAGAGAGCTAGCAGGGGAGGGGCAGAGAGAGAGGGAGACAGAATCTGAAGCAGGCTCCAGGATCTGAGCTGTTAGCACAGAGCCCGACGTGGGACTCGAACCTACGGACTATGAGATCATGACCTGAGCCGAAGTCGGACACTTAACTGACTGAGCCACTCAGGTGCCCCTATTTACTTATTATTTATTTTAAGGTTTATTTATTTATTTATTTATTTATTTTGAGAGAGACAGAGCCAGTGGGGGTGGGTCAGAGAGAGAGGGGGCCAGCGGATCTAGCAGCGAGCTCTGTGGGGCTCACACTCACAAACAGTGAGATCAGGACCTAAGCTGAAGTCAGACCTTTAAGCGACTGAGCCACCCAGATACCTCACGAAGCTAGATATTTAGATAATTAATCTATTAATTTATCTAACAACTACTTCAGTGACTCGTTGATTTTTTAGCTTTTAAAGAAGATGTGGATCTCTGATGCCGATGGTCATCAATAAATAAAAATTACCTTCCGTGCAGGAAACCTTTCCAAAGTCTGTTGTAGCTGAAGTGTGCAAAGCCCCTGCCCATGCTTCCAACTACAGCCCAGCAAATTTTAATGATCCGCCATTCAACTTGCCTTTAAATTGGTGAAGTGACACCCATAACCTCCCTGTACCTATAGAACCCTTTGGAAGAGGGTCCTCACTAAAAGTGCACAAATGCACAACTTGAAACTCTCCCACTAGAACAATATTTCCATCTCTTTGGGGATTAACACAATTGGTTTTACCTTAAGTTAGCATCTCTGTATATTTTTTAGGGAAGAAAGACTACATAAGGTACATACTGTAATTTTTAAATTAGTACATAATATATATAGGTAAAGCTATAATGTTGAGTTAGAGAAAGTACAACTTCAACATCAACCACCTCCTGACCACTCTCACCTTTGTTCTCTACCTTCTCTCCCCAGAGCCGCATTCTGGCATCCTACCCTAACCTCATCCCCAGATCCTAGGTCCTTTCCTGATGAATCCTTGTCCCAGACATTCTGTCATCCTTAATGGGCTAATGGGGGAAGAGACAATAATTAAATAAACTTATAATTAATTTTCTGGTTTATTATGTTGTTTTCTTTGCATGAACATTTGCTGGTAAGGAAAAGCCTTCAAAGACATTGAATTTTAATAGCTGTAGGCCTCGCTGGCAGATACACTGTACCTCAGTGGACCTTTACAAAGCTCTGGCATGGCCACATATTGGAGATGCCCTCACCTCCTCCTCTCGCACCAACATCTCTTCTAGTTCAGGCTAATGCATGTGCCAGTGCCTTGTGATTCTGTTCTAACCGTTCACAGTATTGAGAACTCACACCATAGAACAGCAAATAGCGATTACTGCATCTGACCCACACACTCCCACCCACACACCTACCAAGCTTACCTGTTTTTTGGTATGTTCGTTGTATTCTCCAGGAAGATTATGTGCACTTTTAATTAAGGTCTTTGCAATATGATAATAATAAACGCTAATAATAGCAAGTGGTATAAGGAAGTAGACCAAGAAGATGAGCACTGAATGAATCTTTGGGTGTAATTCATCCGTCTGAGGGTAGGGTACACACGCCGTGAAGCTGCCATTTTCAACGCTCTCAATGCGCGTCACTTCCGAAAACACGGCTTCTGGAAGCGCCAGCAGCACAGAGACCACCCAGATCCCCACCGCCTTCACGCAGGTCCACAGCAACGCCCCAGACATCTGGATGTCCATGGGGTTGACGATGGCTCTGTACCTGGGAAGACAATGTGACTCACATTACTCTCTTAGAAAGAGAAATGTAAGAGAGAAAGAGGAAGGGAGGGAGGGAGGAAGGAAGGAAGGAAGGAAGGAAGGAAGGAAGGAAGGAAGGAAGGAGAGATCCTACTGGCTGAGAGAGAGGTGGTAACACTTTTTGTTATTCCCTGGCTGTTTTGTAGTGTATGGAATACTTAATATCTCCGATGTCTGTCTGCCTATAAGACATTCCACTGTTTATTAGCACAGAAGACAGAAAGATAAGAGATTTTAAATTGTCATTCCCCAAATTCCATTAATTTCCTTACCTCTTTTGTAAGTATTTTTCTAAATCACACATACAGCGAGTATCATCTCTATTGAATATTTTCATTTAAATCACTGAATTTTCAAAAAAACTATCACTGCTATAATTGCAATAACAGGCAGAAACCCTGCAATATAAAATGTCTACAAAATAATGTTACCAAGTTCTATTTTGATGCTCTTCTTCACCTTCTGAGACTCAGTCTCCCACTTCTTTCCCTAAAGGCATTAGTAAACCTTAAGACTGGAATTTTCTCCATAATTCAATCATAAGAACCAAAAGAACTGAAGATGAAGTAACACTCTGTCTTTGTAGCTGAAATTTATTTCACATTGGCACCTCATGAATCCTCTCTCTTCCCACTATCATAGTGGTAAAGTAGCCAATCTCCAGGACACAAGGGCTTAAAGAATCCAAACAGCTAACTCAGCCACACACTTTAGGGTAATCATAAGGCAAACAAGCCAAAATTATATGTGAACATCAAATTATTTATATTTTTCTGAAAGTATTTCAGGTTGTAGTACACCTAGGAGGTTAACACGATGTAGTAAAAAAAAATTATTTTAGTCAAACAAATCTGAGCCATTTTCTCATCTCTAATATCCTTTGGAAAATCACTTAAGGTCTTTTTCATCATCTGTAAGGTGGGGATAAAAGCATTTCTCTCAAAGTTTTGTGATAAAACTTAGAGAGACCACCTATTACTGTGCCTGCCAATTAGCAGATACTAACCATGCCATGATTCTATACTTTCTCCTTATTTACAGTTGATTTTTTAAAAAATATATAACATATTTATTTCTGAGAGAGAGAGAGACAGTGTGTGCAGGGGAGGGACAGAGAGAGAGGTAGACACAGAATCCAAAGCAGGCTCCAGGCTCTAAGCTATGAGCACAGAGCCGACGTGGGGCTCGAACCCACAAACCGTGAGATCATGACCCAAGCCAAAATCAGATACTTAACCAACTGAGCCACCCAGGCACCACTACAGTTGACTTAGTATGGTGTTCTAAAATTCCAGAATGTTTCAAGCAACATAACAAGCAGACAAGATCTTCTGTAAGAAGATCTTCTGTAGGAGTGCCTGGGTGGCTCAGTCGGTTAGGCGTCTGACTTGGGCTCATGTCATGATCTTGCAGTTCATGAGTTTGAGCCCTGCATCTGGCTCTGTGCTGGACAGCTTGGATTCTGTGTCTCCCTCTCTCTCTCTGCTCCTCTCCTGCTCACACTCTTTCTCTGTCTCTCAAAAATGAATAAACATTTTTAAAAATTTCTTTTTAAAAGTCTTCTGCAAGAGGTTCTGTAAAGATGTTTCCCATTGCCCACCAGAAAGAAACAACTTCTAGACGCAACACCACTCTGAGGGGAGCCTCTCTTCTTCCTAATTTGCATCAAGCATCATTCCCAGACCCTCAGTCAGAGAAAGACAGTTTGCATTTTGATCTAGAGGGTCTTCCCCTGTATAACAGGAAACATAAAAATTAAAGTACAGCAACAGCAAAGAGCCTCAACACCAAATTAAAGTCACATACATACTGCGTTTATTTCGCCCGGACTTTGCACATGGCAGAAAAAGCATGTGTTCCTCCTCATTCACTTAATTGCATGTTCTGAAGAAAGTAAAAGAATTACAATTGGTAACTAGAATGAGCTGTCTTTTTCTGTCTCTTTTTAATGTTTTATTAGATTAATATATTCAAAGAGTTTTTTGTTTTGTTTTAAGGTTTTTTTTTTTTTCTGAGAGAGAGAGAGACAGCGTGAGCAGGGGAGGGTCAGAGAGAGAGGGAGACACAGAATCTGAAACAGGCTCCAGGCTCTGAGCTAGCTGTCAGCACAGAGCCCGATGCGGGGCTCGAACCTACAGACCGTGAGATCATGACCTGAGCCGAAGTCGGATGCTTAACCGACTGAGCCACCCAGGCGCCCCTCTTTTGTTTTTATCAGAGAACACTAACAGCCTAAAAGGAAAAACTGATTTCATTTCAGGTCCAACTCCTGGGTTGAACCAAATTTCATATCTTTACCTCCATTTGACTAAGAAATGTCTCTTGAATGAAATACTGAAGACATTTGCTCTTGACATCCTGTTATGGAAGTTGAGGATTTTCTCTCTTCTACACTTTTATCTCTCTTATTACCAACCTCCTAATTCTGTAAGTTATATTAAATGTTTATACAATAGCCACTAGAGTGTTATTGTGATCAACCAAATATCTCTTACTACAGAATTAAGTAATATATTGTCTTCTTTCTCAAACATGTCTCTGGTTTACCTGCAGTTGCTACTTGATCTTTTATTGTTTGCATAATTTTTCATGTACCTGAATTTGATTTTTTTAACTGTTCTTTTCCACCTTGCTGAGTAATTGGAGCCCTAGTATTTGAATCTCAATTCTTCCTTCTTAGACTTTCACTTTGTCAAGCTCCTCTCCACCTTCTTTTTGGTTTTGCTTTCTAAGATGCTTTATTAGCCTTAGTTCCCATTCCTTCATATATTTTTTTTTAATTCCTGACAACACATTTTTAAATGTTTTTAATTTTTATTTTGAGAGAGACTGACACACAGAGAGAGAGAGAGAGAGAGAGACAGAGAGAGAGAGAAAATTACAAGCAGGCTCCACACTCAGTGTGGAGCCCAATGGTGGGCTCACAACCCTGGATCATGACCTGAGCTGAAATCAAGAGTAAGATGCTCAACTGACTGAGCCATCCAGGTGTCCCTCTGCTATCATATTTTTAATTTCTAAAAGTTCTTGCTTCGCAAGTGAATAGATAATTAGAAGAAACTGTTCCCTTCATGAAGTCAAGTAACTATATTTTAGTACCAATATACATTATTTTCTCTGTGGATCCATTTTTTTTTTCCTTTTTGCATGTTCAAATATCTCTTTGCTTTTTTTAGCATTAATTACGATGATGTTATTGGAATTCATGGAAGTATAAGTAAAGCAAACTTTTAAACAAACCAAAACCGAACAAATACTTTTAGAGATATTTGTTTGGTGATATGTTTGCTTGGTTTCTTTGCTAGAATTTCTCCTCAGAAGGTAGATGTCTACAACCTCCCAACTCATATTTAAGGTCAAAGTACCAAAAGGCTGATACAAATTTTTTGTACATAGCAGAGATGGGGAAAGAGCAGAGAAGTTTTTGGGTTGATGGTTACCAAAAATTAATCAATTAACCAGCCTACCTTGTTGGATTGTCAGAAAACTCAAAGAATATTCTGAACTTTCCTTTGTGGATTTAAAAAGGAGGAAAACACCACTCCCTACTCTCATTCCCACCTCATCTTTAAGCACATAAACATAAAGGTGTTGGGGAAACTGCAAAGAAGAATGGAAGTTTTAGCTCTTTCATTGTAATAACATTGCCAATAACATTGTAATAACAGAGCTGTAGCAACAGCTCTTGGATTCTTGGTTTAGGGGAAGTAAGAAACCCAGTGGGAATATAAGGTATGGGTAGAGAAGGCCTTTTCAACAAGGACATTTCTTGGCCACATCCTGCAGGAAAGAGAAATAGACTTCGGATCTTCCACTAAATGGTATACATTTGCTAGAAAGGGAGTATTGACAATTCTATAAAGCTGGATTTATAGTTTAAAACAATAGATTATTGAAGCATCATTATTAGTACTTAAGCATCATTATTAGTACTTAACCATGGCTTAGAATTGTCAGAGAATAAGGTTTACACCGATGTTTCATGTACATCTTTGAAAGGATAAAAAGTAAAACAGTACAGTGCAAATTAATATGGATATATTTAATCATCCTTTATTTAAATATTTATAAAAGTATAGGAATGAGCGGCACGTGGGTGGCTCAGTTGGTTAAGCATCTGACTCTAGGTTTTGGCTCAGGTCATGGTCTCACATTTTGTGGATCTGAGTCCCACATTGGGTTTTGCACTGACAGTGCGGAGCCTGCTTGGGATTCTCTCTTTCTTCCTCTCTCTCTGCCCTTCCCTCCACCAAAAAAAAATAAATAAATAAACATTTAAAAATATATAGGAATGAAGCATCCCTCAGTACAAAAACTACCTCATTAAATGTAGTAGTATAATACATATGCGTGAAAATTTACATTTCTTTCTTCCAGATAGTCTCAGAAAGGTATCCCTAACTGAAAACTAAAAACAAAAATAATGGATCAAAAGGGATTAAAGAAAACATAATCACCATTCATGTATTAAATATCAATAAATACATATGCTTCTTCATTAATTTCTGTTTTGGATTTTGCACTTACCATATCTGCATATAGTCTAAAGTTAAAGAAAGGGATAATGAAATGTCATTGTATTAAAATACATACAATGAAAATTAGATAATTTGTAGCTCATATAAAGTCATCTCAGTTTCTCAAAATCTCTGTCTACACATTTCTGCACACATACTAGTTACACTATCCGTAATTTCTCTTTTTTTCTTTTATTTTCCTTTTTTTTGCTTATCATACTTTCTTTTTCTAAATTTTTTTTTTAGTTTATTTATTTGTTTTGAGAGAAAGAGAGAGCACAGTAGGGGAGCGGCAGAGAGAAGGAGAGACAGAATCCCAAGCAGATGCCATGCTGTCTGCAAAGAGCCCGATGTGGGGCTTGAACTCACATACCTTGAGATCATGACCTGAGCTGAGATCAAGAGTCATACGCTTATACAACTGAGCCACCCAGGCACCCTGTCA